GATAGATTAGATAGATTAGATAGATAGATTGGATATAAAGTAGAAGATAGATTGGATAGAAAGTAGATAGTTAGATAGATAGGTAGATAGGTAAATAGATAAAGAGATAGATAGATAGAGGTAAAAAGAGAGATAGATAGACAGATAGATAGATAGATACAGAGAGAGATCGAGAGATAAACAGATAGATAGATAGATGGATACATAGATAGACAGAAACATATTTAGATAGATAGAGAGATATATATATTGATAGCTAGATAAAAGAAAGAAATAGATAGAGAAAAAAAGAGATAGATAGATAGATTGATAGATCAAAGGGAAATAGATAGATAGAATAGACAGAGAGATAGCAAGAGAGATAGGCCCCTAGTAGACAGATAGATAAATGGATGGATGGATGGATGGAAATCGCAACTTTTAAGTACGAAAGAAGTACGCGAAATCCACTTTCGCAGCTGGGGCTCGAAAATCGCAACTGTTAAGTACGAAAGTAGTACGTGAAGTCCACTTCGCAGCTGGGGCTCGAAAATCGCAACTGTTAAGTACGAAAGCAGTACGCGAAGTCCACTTTCGCAGCTGGGGCTTGAAAATCGCAACTTTTAGGTACGAAAGTAGTACGTGAAGTCCACTTTCGCAGCTGGGGCTCGAAAATCGCAACTTTTAAGTACGAAAGTAGTACGCGAAGTCAACTTTCAGGGTTTGAAAATCGCAACTTTTAAGTGCAGATATAAATGGATAGATAGATAGAAAGAGATAGAGAAAGAGATAGATAGATAGATAGATAGAGAGAGGGAGAGCAAGATAGATAGAAAAATAGATAGATAGATAGAGAGAGAGATAGATAGATAGAGAGAGATAGCGACAGAGAAAGATAGAGAGATAGAGAGATAGAGAAATAGAAAGAAAAAGAGATAGATAGATTCATATAGATAGATAGATATAGATAGATAGATATAGATAGATAGATAGAGAGATAGATAGATAGAGAAATAAATAAATATATAGATAAACGATAAACAAACAGATAGATAGATAGATAGATATATAGATAAATAAATAGAAACAGAGATAGAGAGAGAGATAGATAAGTAGATAGAGAGAGAAATAACTAGAGATAGCTAGATAAATAGATAGATAAATAGATAGAGAGGTAGATCGATAGATAGATAGGTAAAGAGAATGAGATAGAGAGGTAGATAAAGAGATGGATAGATAGGTAAATCTATAAATAATTGTACATGTAGATTGATAGATAGAGAGATAGAGAGATGGATAAATACACGTGAGATAATGAGATAGAGAGATAGATAGATAGAGAGATAGACAGGCAGAGTGAGAGAGAGATAGATAGATAGGTAGACAGAGCATAGAGACATATAGAGGTAGATAGATAGATAGATAGATAGATAGATAGATAGATACGCGGGAGATAGATGGAGAGATAGATGGATAGATAGAGATAAATAGATAGAAAGAGTGAGATAGAGAGATAGATAGATAGAGAGATAGACAGACAGAGAGAAAGAGATAGATAGATAGGTAGACAGAGGGATACATAGAGAGATATAGAGATAGATAGATAGATAGGTAGATGGATAGAGAAATAAATAGATAGATAGAGAGGGAAATAGATAGATAGATAGCTAGATAGATAGATAGATAGACAGATAGAGAAAGAGAGAGACAGAGATAGAGGGATATAGAGAGATGGATAGGTAGATATATAGATAGAGAGATAGAGAGATAGATAGAGAAGATAGATAGAGAGATAGATAGATAGATAGATAGATAGATAAGCAGATAGATAGATAACACGAGAGATAGATAGATAGGTAGTTAGGTATAGATAGGTAGAGAAAGATAGATAGACAAGCAAACGGAAGAAAGAAAGAAAAGACAGATAGAAAGAAGGAAAGAAGGGCGGAAGGAAGGAAAGAAAGGAAGAAAGGAAGAATGACGGAGAAAAGGAGTCAAGAAAAGAAAGAGAAAGAGAACTATAGTTTTCATATTTTGGAAACTTCCGCCCACCGGCTGCGCCGGCTCTACTGGTATTGGTTATAACAAATGCTATATAGGAAGCACATGCGAGAACTTAAGTCAAAGAATGGCACGACATAAGCAAAATCATAAGAAAGTAGAGGAATGGAATACTAAAACGAATTGTCGTTTATTGTTTGATGAATATGGAATGGACAATTGTAAGATTGAATTGTTAGAAAATTACCCATGTGAAAACCGAGAACAGTTACTGAAACAGGAGGGTTATCATATCAAAAATACTGACTGTGTTAATAGATGTGTTGCTGGAAGAACCTTCAATGAATGGAAAGAAGACAATCAAGAACACTACCAGCAAATGAGAAAGGAATACTCAGAAAAAAAAACAAAGAACGTATATCTAGGAAAAGTCATAATACTACCACCAAAACAAAGAAACGATTAATGAACAACGAAAAGAAACTATTGAGTGTGAGTGTGGTAGTGTTGTTAGAAAAAGTGATGTTAGAAAACACGAGAGAAGCGAGAAACACATACGATACAAAAATAAACATATTAATATCTAAATATCTCTAATTATAATGAACTTATTAGAGATGTTTAGCGGGACAGGGTCGGTTGGGGTTGTAGCAAAGTCGCTCGGTTATAATGCTATATAGCGTTAGACTTGAAAAATGCTGATATTAATTGTGATATACTTGAATGGGACTATACTCAGTTTGACAGAAACCATTTCAATTTTATTTGGGCATCTCCTCCATGCACCGAATACAGCCGAGCGAAGACGACGGACGTCCGAAAGATTGAGTATGCGAATAGCATCGTTTTGAAAACCCTTGAAATCATTGACTACTTCAAACCTACATGGTGGGTTGTGGAAAACCATCAAGCAGGATTATTAAAGGAACAACCCTTCATGAGTGGGTTGCAATACTATCATGTGGATTATTGTAAATATGGCATGAACTATAGGAAAAGGACTAGGCTTTGGACTAACATTGAAACATGGAAACCCAGATCATTATGTAATAGGGATTGTGGGAAAATTAGGAATGGGAAACATGTTGAAACAGCACAACGGTTACCTTCAGGAAAAAGGGACAGTTGGGGAGAGGGATGCATCAAACATAAACAAGATGAGTTATACAAAATTCCTACTGATTTGATTAGTGATATACTTGTTAAAACCTACCCGCCCGACACCTTGTAGTCGCCGAGGGAGGTGCCTTCTGACAAACAGGACTCACACTCTTGACTGTTTGGGAAAACCAGATTTCTCAAAGGGGAAATCTACCCAAACACGTCATGTTAGGTGGCTTTTCTCCTAGGGGAAATCTGGATTTCTCTCAGAGGAAATCTGGATTTCTCTTAGGGGAAATCTGGGTTTCTTTTAGGAGAAATCTACATTCCCTTCAAAGGAAACAATATTGTTGTAAAAAAGGGTTGATGAATTATTCTAATCATATTGTTGTTGAAAACAAATTTGGATAGAAGCAATTATCTTTATTCATACTATTTAATTATAATATGATTAAACATTCTTTTATAATCTAACAAGAAGGCTAAGACATTTAAATTAAACCTGAAACCCAGACCAGCCGACCAGCAACCCCTAGCCAAAACTACTTAAAGAAATATCACCTTATATATTAAGAGGAAAATGAACGGTGATGAAATCAATAATTATATCAATAAAAAATGCTGTGATTGTTGTCACTTCAAAAAAGAAAATATGGAATTGTATAAACTGAATTTACCTAATGAAATAGTGAATAGTATTATTCATTATTCAATGGATGGAGAAGACGTATGTAAAAATTGTAAAAATTGGAGAGATAATCAATTTTTAATCAAATGTGTGTTGGGAATAAAAAGGATACATAATAGAAATGTAGAAGACAATCTTTTAATATTTCTAACTGTAAATAAAATACCACCTTACGATTATGTTAAACAGTTTCTTAAAATCAGTAAGAAAATATGAAATGATTGATGATATATTCTGGATGTTGGGTTATAGTCAAAAGAAAGGAGAAGATGTTAAAGAAAATATCAAATTATTTTTTGAAAGTAAAAAGTTTAATGTTCAAAATACAGTGGGAGATACTAATATTATTTTTAAAATGATGTATGAAAGAAGTAAGAAGCATCAATTAAATTATTATCCTGAACTGAAATTAAAATCATAATATAATAATAACATGTAAACTCTTATATGTTAATTATACTGAACTTTTAACCTATAAATGAAAATTAGTGAGAAAAACACTAACAAAACAAATGCACCACCAACACCCCAGAACTTGATAACTACTAAAAGGGCTAACTCTTTCAAATGAAAAAAATGTCGGCCCCCAGCCCAACAATGAACAAGGCGACAATTTACCCAAATGATTACCTTAACGAAAACGATATATAAGCTCCCCAAAAACACCCTTTTCAAAACGAATAAGGGGGAACACAGATTTGAGATTAACATAAAAACCAGAACAGGGGACCATCAACAGGCCACCCCCCGGGCCCCCCCTTGTTGCATTTTTTTTGGGGGGGTTCCTGACACCAAAACAAAACTACTGTGCAAAGACGGTCAGAAGCCGTGCCTGGCATAGACCCTGAAGAAGAAATATCGGAGCTGAGCTACACACGCAGCACAAAGAACTCTAGAATGAGCATGAAGGACAATTACCCGCACATAATAAGTTTCACCTGCGCAATTGATAATCATAGAGCAGCCGGTCAAGTAAGGGACCTCCATCACAGGTGAGCTTGTTTGATCCTTAAGTGAGCTTGATATAACACGCATGAAGCACTCCACAGCATCGGTTCACCCTGACGACTATCCATCATAAGTTCCTGGGGTTTGAGTAATTATGTTGTTCACTGCTTGAGCTTCACAAACGAAGACGTTTGGTTTCCATCGGCAACCAACCAAGTGGCGTTTAAACGGCAAACACAAAATGAAACATGTAAGAACTGCACACTGCTAGTCCTGCCACGTCCAGCCTCTCGCCCCTCTTTAAAGCATTTCTCGCACTGGTCGTAGTTGCATTCCCTGCGCGGCGGACCCGAGCACGCTGCTGGTTCAATATCTGCTGATTACCTTGTTTCCAAAAACTAGATTCGTCTCAAAACGGACCCCCAAAATGGGTCGCTTCGTGTTGGTCTCCCTTTAAAACAACCCAGTTCGGCCCAGAAACCCTCCTGGCAAGGGTACATCCCACCAAAGGGGTCGCACAAACGCGAAATGTCAGGGCTTGCGTGCAAGAAGGCATGGAACGTCTGGGGCGCAGGCCGAGCATGGAATTTGCACCCGTAGAATATCCCTTCTCCATCATTCGCGATGCCGCACCTCGGGGAGCACGGCTGTTCAAGACACTGCAAACAGGGGAAGTTCGGAAAAAGCCCCGGCTTCGGCTCCTTCTTTCGGACGGGGTTTTGCAGTGAGAAAGCCGTCCTCAAATTGGATCTATTTCAAATATTTCCCATGAAGCAAAGCGTTTGAGCCATGCTATGCTAGTCAGGGACCCAATGAAGTACTCCAAACAAAGGAGCCCGTAAGAGATACGAAAAGGGCCCGATCAAACGCTGAGAGCGTTCCCGTGAAAAGGGCGCCTTGCTTAGATGTTCGGCCAATGGCCGTCGGCCCCTCACTTCCTAGGTGGACTGGCCCGTCTCAACTTGTTCCTTCTGCTTGCCACTGACATGGTCTTCCAACAAATTTGAAAGTCCGTGAAACGCCGTGAACTCAGGGACTGAGGCCTCTTACGGTTTTAGTCAACGAGTCAACTTGCCGGGAAACGAGTGCGTCACACCCTAAGCATCTTGAACCCTCACAAGGGCTCTTTTTGAGGTCTCGACCCCTTCCCATTGACAGTCCTTTCTCATGCTTGGCTTTTGGTGGTTCCTCAGCATCCCGGCTTATCGCAGGTCACGCTGTCCGACTCGTAAAGCTGCAGCTTGTGGTTCTTTGGGCAGTGGCCCCCCATTTGCCTTGTCGTGCTGACAACCTTCAGGGTCGGTTAGGCTCGAAGTGGGGCCTGAGAGTGAAACCTTGCTATGGACCAGGTGAGCTGCGACCAAATTGGCCAAAGCTGCGTACAGTTCGACATGTCAGGACGCATCCAATTGGCCTTTGACCATTGCATTTTCAATGCGCCATGTAAGCTGGCCCCTTTGACCTGCTGAGTTGACGGCCCGACCAGAAGCATGTTTAAACTGTTTGGGTATTGGGTGCACGGATGAAGACACCCCACCAACAAACAGCTGAAGGTTTGCCAACAAACCAAGTAAGTTTAAGTGGCAGCGTGAAACTGCATTGCGTGAGGCACCCCTTGGGCAAACCACCAGCCGTGGCAAGGTGACGGAAGGTGAGAGCGACAGCCTCTGGACGGATACACCTGGAGTTACACCACTAAACAACTGTCCCATTTGGTGCCATCTCCAAACAAAACATACTCTGTCTGGCTATGGGTCACTTCCAAAGTTGGTGTGTAATTCCATGAAACTCGAGGCCCCCCCCCCCCCGGCCAGCCCCGGCCTTTCTCAATTCTTCGTGATTTGCAAAGCCCATAAGGGCAGCACGCATGTCCTGCCAGTGAGCTTGCGGCTATGCAAGAAAGTCCTCTTGCAGGCAAAGGCCAATTGAACATTGCAACCAATCGGGAGGCACAAAGCCAAGTCTCACACTCCAGAAATTCAACCCCCACGGTTGGGAACCCACGGAACAAGGCGGTGCACCCCCGGCTCGCCTTTCAAGAGCCGCCCCTCCGGAAAGACATGATAGTAATAAAACTAGAAGATGGGCGGCCCGAAAGCATTAGCGGCGGCGGCCTTCTCCTAGCAAGTTATCTGTGCAAGTTGCTCTGAGCAAGTTTTTCAAGTTGCTGTAAGCGCGTTCTCAAGCAAGTTCTCTCCCCAAGTTGCTCTGAACAAGTTTCCTCTATTTGCGTGCTACTTTCGTGCTTAAACGTTGCGATGTTCCAGCCGGAGCTGCGGAAGTTTAGTCCGCGTGCAACTTTCGTACTTACAAGTTGCGATATTCTGGCCAGAGCTGTGGAAGTGTACTTCGCGTACTACTTTCATACTTAGCCCTAGGCTTCCAAAGGCCGTTGAAAGAATGGTCGAGGTCGCTAGACTGTTTTTTGCTGAAAGACCTTTTTTCGCGCCTGACCCTGAAATTCCAAGAAATCATTGTTTTTGTTGCCCAAGAATTGCTTAGGGTCAGGTCACTGACGTTCACGCCGCCCTCATCCTCCCAGCTGCAAAGACTGCACCCAAGCCACTCATTCCCCGGCTTACCAAATGTATGGTCGCATCACTTTTCAAAATCGCCAGGTGTCCCACCTACCGTATATGCGTGCAAAGATTCTTCGCATGTTGGGACTGGAGTCCGGCTCTTTTAAAAATGCTGCAAACTTAGTGGCTTCGGGGCATCGCTGCCGATCAGGCATGCGTTGTGGGCTCCTGGGAGTATGGTTGCACGCCTCATTTACTTTCGAAATCGATTAAACAATCAACAAACAACACGCGATCAGACTCTGTGGAGCTGTGGACAAGAAGTGGAAAAGCACGCACGGGCATGTGAGGGACAAGCCAAATTGACACAGCATGGTGGTGGCGTGTGACTATACAACGGGATGAAGCGACTTTAAAACACACTTAGCTTATTTCACAAAAGGCAGCAATAAAGTTCTTCAACCTCTCACTGCACAGAAGCGCGCGGGGATGTCAGGAGCCAGCCGTCCCAAGTAGGCCAGGTTTGTCTAGACCTACTTTTAATGGTCGAGGGACATTACTTGTATAGCCTATATTTATAGCCTTTCGATTTTTAAATGGTCGAGGCTATTGAAAGAACTGTCGAGGAAGCATAGAGTCAAAAGTTGCGATAGATATTCCAGCTGGAGCTGCGAAAGTGTCCTTCGCGTGCTACTTTCGTACTTAAAAGTTGCGATATTCTAGCCGGAGCTGCGAGAGTGCACTTCGCGTAGTACTTTCGTACTCAAAATTGCGATTTTCCAGCCGGAGCTGCGAAAGTTTACTTCGCGTACTACTTTCGTACTTAAGAGTGCAATTTTCCAGCCGGAGCTGCGGAAGTTTACTTCGCGTACTACTTTCATACCTAAAAGTTGCGACTTTCCAGCCGGAGCTGCAAAAGTTTACTCCGCGTGCTGCAAAAGTTTGCTTCGCGGGCTACTTTCACGTTTAAAAGTTGGGTTTATCAGCCGGAGCTGCAAAAGTCTACGTTGCGTGCTACTTTCATGCTTAAAAGTTGCGACTTTCCACCCGGAGCTGAGAAAATGTACTTCACGCTCAAAAGTTGCGATTTTCCAGCCAGAGCTGTGAAAATGTACTTCGCGCGCAAAACTTGCGACTTTGCAGCTGGAGCTGCGAAAGTGTACCCTGTGCTTCCTCGACTATTCTTTAAATAGCCTCGACCATTTAAAAGACGAAAGGCTATAAAAGTAATGTCCCTCGACCATTAAAAGTAGGTCTAGACAAACTTGGCCAACCCGGACGGCTTCCTGACATCCCCAAGGTTGAATAATTTTATTGCTGCCTTTTATGAAATAAGCTGAGTATGTGTTACAGTCGCTTCATCCCGTTGTAATCACACGCCGTCACCATGCTGTGTCAATTTGGCTTGTCCCGTGCGTGTTTTTCCACATCTTGTCCACAGCTCCACAGAGTCGTGTTGTTTGTTGATTGTTTAATCGATTTCGAAAGAAAATGAGGCGTGGACAAACCATGGACAAACCGTGGAAAGGACGTTTTTTAGCGTGGAAAGTACATTTAAAAGCGTGGAAAGTACGTTTAAAAGCGTGGACAACCATACCTGCAGGAGCCCACAACGCATGTTTGATCGGCAGCGATGCCCCGAAACCACTAAGTTTGCAGCGCTTTTCAAAAAGCCAGACTTCAGTACCAACATGCGAAGAATCTATGAACGCCTCTACAGTAGGCGGGACACCTGGCGATTTTTAAAAGTGATGCGACCACAAGCCGGGGAATGAGTGGCTTGGGTGCAGTCATTTGCAGCTGGGAGGATGAGGGCGGCGTGACTGACCCTAAGCAATTCTTGGGCAACAAAAAACCGTGATTTTTTTGGATGTTCAGGGCCAGGCGCAAAAAACGGTCTTTCGGCAAAAAACAGTCTAGCGACCTCGACCATTCTTTTAATGGCCTTTGGAAGCCTAGGGTTTACTTCGCGTACTACTTTCGTACTTAAGAGTGCGATTTTCCAGCCGGAGCTGCGGAAGTTTGCTTCTCGTGCAACAGTACTTTCGTACTTAAAAGTTGCGATGTTCCAGCCGGAGCTGCGAAAGTCTACTTTGCGTGCTACTTTCATACTTAAAAGTTGCGACTTTCCAGCCGGAGCTGCAAAAGTTTACTCCGCGTGCTGCAAAAGTTTGCTTCGCGGGCTACTTTCACGCTTAAAAGTTGGGTTTATCAAACGGAGCTGCAAAAGTCTACGTTGCGTGCTACTTTCATACTTAAAAGTTGCGACTTTCCACCCGGACCTGAGAAAATGTACTTCACGCTCAAAAATTGCGATTTTCCAGCCGGAACTGCGAAAGTTTACTTCGCGTACTATTTTCGTACTTAAAAGTTGCGATTCTCCAGCCAGAGCTGTGAAAATGTGCTTCGCGCGCAAAACTTGCGACTTTCCAGCTGGAGCTGCGAAAGTGTACTTCGCGCACTACTTTTCTACTGAAAAGTTGCGATTTTCGAGTCGGAACTGCTGCGAATCAGGGGGAAATGGAACTCGCGACCGCAGGATTCCGAAAGCAGGCGCGCAAACCACGAGACAACTTCCATACGTCCTTTCGCGCACGGCGCCGCAGCGAGAGCACTTCGACACACAGCGAGAGCGCTTCGAGACGCACGTTTCACGCAGAGGGTCGATGCGAGGACCGCAAAAACGTAAAAAGGCACGCCGATCCGATCCGCGAACGCAGAAGTCGCAAAAGCCCTGTTTATGACATCGACCGCGCTGATCCACGCAGAGGGTCGATCCACGACCGCAGAAAGTAGTAAAAGTCCTCAGTTTTTTAAGACCACGCCGGTCCATCCGCAAAATCGTAAAACACCCCCCGTTGCTTAACATCGACCACGCCGATTCCAGCAGAGGGTCGATCCGCGACTGCAGAAAGTACAGCAAGTATCCTGAGTTTTAACATCGGCACGCTGATCCACGCACAGTCCTCAGTTTTTTAACACCAACCACGCC